ATACCAGTTAGAATGGGCATCATCAGAAAATCTACAAACAACAAATGCTGGAGAGGGTGTGGAGAAAAGGGAACCCTCTTGCACTGTTGGTGAGAATGTAAATTGATACAGCCACCATGGAGAACAGTATGGAGGTTCCTTAAAAAACTACAAATAGAATTACCATATGATCCAGCAATCCCACTACTGGGCATACACCCTGAGAAAACCATAATTCAAAAAGACACATGCACCCCAATGTTCATTGCAGCACTATTTACAATAGCCAGGTCATGGAAGCAACCTAAATGCCCATCAACAGACGAATGGATAAAGAGGCTGTGGTACATATATACAATGGAATATTACTCAGCCATAAAAAAGGAACAAAATTGGGTCACTTGTAGAGATGTGGATGGATCTAGAGACTGTCATACAGAGTGAAGTAAGTCAGAAAGAGAAAAACAAATATTGTATGTTAACACATATAGGTGGAATCTAGATGGTACAGATGAACCAGTTTGCAAGGCAGAAATAGAGACACAGATGTAGAGAACAAACATATGGACACCAAGCGGGGAAAGCAGTGGGGCGGGGGTGGTGGTGGTGGGATGAATTGGGAGATTGGGATTGACATGTATATGCTAATAGGTATAAAATAGATAACTAATAAAAAAATTTAAAAAAATAGTCCATACAGCTTTGCATAATCTACCCTCAGAAATGCCACTGAGGTCTTTAAATGACACAGAGCAAAATGAATTGCAGGGTAAGAAGGTTTGTGTATTTTGGAAAATCTTGTGAGGTAGACACAGACTTCAGGACTCTTCTACCTGCCTCTTTAAATGACGGCCCTCGTAAATTTAGCACCAACTTTTACATAGCACCTTCTTTCACAAATTTTACTTTATTTAATTTCCATAACCATTCTATGAGATAAGCCTTTGGTCCCCATCTGATTTATAAAGAAACAGTCTGGTGGGGTGTTTGGGGTCAGGGGAGTGAAAAATAAGGGACACACTAACACGTGTGAGAGCTTAACACACAGCCCTCCTAAAGGGTAGGTAGTGTTCTCCTCGTTTTACAGATGGAGATTTGGAGGCTCAGAGAGGTTCAATGGCCCTGGTCAAAGCCGGAAACTGAAAGGTCCTCCTGGGTTAGGCACTGAACCCATATTGGTCTGATCTCAAAACCTATACCCTTTCCACCATATTCACTGATTCAAGCAATAGTGGTGAACCCCCGTGTGTTCCAGATGCTACTCTGGATGCTGGATGTACAAAACTGAGCAAAATAGATGGCATGTTCCTTAGTCTTGGGGAATTTACAGAATAGTAGGCGGAAAGATATTAATCAATTAATCATCAAAAAATACAAAATTAGAACTGTGTTCAATACTTTGAAGGAACACTTCAGTGGCCCGGAGCCCACCTCTAAAATCCTGGGCCAGGAGTCCAGGTCTAGGGTCTATTTTACCAACAATGCAGCCCTGGTTGGGGCGCTGAAGCTGTTTCCTGGTCCATAATAACCACCAGGGCACCAGGGGCGCGCAACCTCCTTCATAACGGGTACTGCTTGACCCTTCAATGCCCACCTCCTCCAGCAGGTCCAGAAGGTGATGGCCACTCAAACCAGATTCCAGCAATACCAGAAGACATGGCAGAGAAGAGCCAACAAATAAATTGTTGAGGGCGGTTAGGAGGAAAATCCCTGGAATGTGAGCGTCATATGTTCACCTGCCCGAAAGAGTTTTCCTTCCTTAGGAGGAGTGACAGCATTTGTCAATGACACAAAGATACCAAGACTCTTCCCTTCCCTTTTTCAATTCTGACTCAGGGGATGTGAAGGGAAGACTTTTTTGAGAGGGGGAAGCTGCTGAGAAGGTTCCCTTGCTCTTTAGGGGGAGCCACAGGAAGAGACACTCTGAGTATTGAAAGGTCGGGGAGTGATGCTTCAATGTGGCTGCTGGCACTGAGGACACAGTCAGCGCCCAGGGGGCCTGAGCAGACAGTCAGACCTAGGTCCTCAATGCCATCACTGGGCCACCAAATTAGCTGTGCCTGAAGTCCACCTACCTCAGAACTTCCTGTAACCTGAGATAATAAAGTCCTTGTTTAAACCAGCTTGAGATGGGGTTTCTTAAAGACAAATATATATATATATATATATATATATATTT